TCTTATACTGTTTCTGAATTCCCTTTATCAGGCATTTCCATCAGATATTATTTTAATAGCAACCATATTAATACAATCCCAAAGTAACCGCTAAATTTGCCCCACTTTAGAAATAGGGTCTTCATTCTCTTTGGACAATTCTCTGTTGGAGGCCATCGTGGACCCAAATCAAGACAATATCCTGAATCAGAACATTATCAACTTTTCTAGAAATTTGCATCTCTGCTCTGAATACTTAACAGTAAACCAATGCAGCACAAACCACAGATTAATTCACAAAAGGGAAAGTCTAATTTCAGATTACGATCCAAGTTAGATTTCTTAAGGTACAGGTATACCTCACTTTATTGAGCTTTGTAGATGTTGCAGTTTTTTCATATTGAAAGATCAAGACTTTAGTGGAGTGTGTAACTGAAGATGTGGTGGAAATAGCGAGAACTACAATTAGAAGTGGAGCCTAAAGATGTGATCAATTACTATGATCTTTTGACAAAACCTTAATAGATGAGGAGTTGCCTCTTATATGAGCAAAGAAAGCAGTTTCTTGAGATGGAGTCTAGTTCTGGTGAAAACACTGTGAAGACTTGAAATGACAACAAAGGATTTAGAGTATTAAATAAACTTAGTTGATAAAGCAGTGGCAGAGTTTAAGAGGACTAACTCCAATTTTGAAAGAAGTTCTGTAGGTAAAAATGCTATCAAACAGCATCTCATGCTACAGAGAAACTGTGAAAGGCAGACTCAATTGATGCAGCAAATTTGTCTTAACTTTAAGAAACTACCACAGCCACCCAAGCCTTCAGCAACCACCACCCTGATCAGTCAGCAAGCCATTAATATTGAGACAAGACTCATCACCAGCCAAGATTACAATTTGCTAAAAGCTCAGACGGTTGGCACTTTTTAGGAATGTTATTTAATTAAAGCATGTACATTGTTTAGACATAATGCTATTGCACACTTCAATAGACTACAGTATATATAAACATACTTTTATTTGCACTGAGAAACCAGAAGACTCATTTGACTCGCTTTACTGCATTACTGGCTTTTGGTGGTGGTCTGGAAGCAAGCCTGCAACATCTCTGAGGTCTGCCTGTACTTTCAACACCCAACTCAGTTACTCTGAATCAAGGAATGTGTTATGCATATAAGGGAATGTCAATGTGCACCTTTCCCTCAATACAATATTAAGTACAACCAGTTCAGATAGGAGTGCAATTCAGTATTTTGAAATTAGAAACTCAGATCCACTCATAAAGATACATACTTGGTATGATTTTGTTACATTTCATATTCTTTACCTGCAGTCTATCTCACTATCTATATTCCTGGTCTACAATTATCCTTCGTAGATTTTTCCCATCAAAACCACATAGGGAAACACCATGAAGTCATGCAGGTGGGTTCAGACTAGTTAATTTTACTTTTATCTTTTATGTGTTTCCACATCTATTAATGAAAGCTGGATAGATATCCCTTTCAAATGAAGTCAGCCTTCCAGTCTGAAGGCTATCAATTCAAGAAAAATAAAAGGGAAAAACACTGATGCTCTTAAGTTTCTGAGAACTTCTAGAAATGAAGACACCTTTGGCTATTTATAGCCAGTACTTCACTGGTTTCTCCTCTTGCTAATGCTGTTTCAGCCCCTTCATTTTAAACCACTGGAGATTTTACCTAAGCCTAATTTCCTCTCTGCAAAGGGAAAAGATACCCACTTGGTTCTCTCCAGAGTAAATTCCTTCTTTTATCATTTTAAAGAGAAATATAAATGGCTACAATTACTTGATTTCAACTCTTATCTCCATCTGCAGTAAACACTGGACAAATTTATCTAGCTGCTTAGTTAAGTTTCTATTTAAACAAAACATTAATATGCAGCCATTAGTGTTAAGAACATGTATTTTAAGAATATAGAAATTCCTTAAAAGTTTCCCTAATGGAACTTCAAATGAAATATGCAAAACTGTGGGTTTAAAATGGAAGGATCATTGGTATGATAGAGATCATGCACATTTGTGATTGTTTCAACCTTCTCCTCAAAGGCATGGACTACATAAAATTAAGTACTTTTGTTCTCAAAATTTTTTTCCCCATGTGGCTTCTGAAACAAATCAAATTTGGTTGGTGCCAGAAAAGCACATTTGCCATAGCACTTGACTATCTTAGCAATGTCCACTGTCAAAACCACTATGTTAAAACTCACCTGGATCATTACACAAAGGCTTGGAATTATTAGGTGACTATTTACTCAGCCTGTTCAAATCTTTCTGAACCTTAGATGTCAAACTTTCAAATATATATGAATGAATGAGTTCATTAATCTGAAATAAATACTCGGAAAATCTTTTAAGATACTTCCTTAAAACCTCTCAATCATGCTGTGAATTTCAACCTGTTATAATCAAAAAACTTCATAAATACTTGTTTCTGTTTGCAGGAAAGAATATGTTCTATTCAAGTGACACATTTGTTTTTCCTTTCAATTGTGTGTTTATTATAATCAAAAAGCATTGATTCTGAGTTCCCCAGAAAATTCTACTTGCTTTTACAGAAATCAGTACATAAACCATAGTAAGTCCATGACCTTAAAGAAGCTGACAGAACTATTGATTTTCAATCTCCATTAATATTATCATTAATTTCATAGTTAACTAAGATACTCCAAATTGGACTACTTAGAAATACACAAAAAGGTGCTGTTTCTGAACGTTTCAAGTTTCCAAAGTGTCAGATTGACATATCAAATTTTAAAGTAAGGTACAAAAAGTATGAAAGCAACTTAAAAAATACTGGGATAAGTTTGCCTCCACAGGCAATCAGGTGTATTTTTCAGTAACAATAAAAGCTATAAATAATAATTAGAAATCAAGTCTTAGGGACAGATGGACCATGTAGAAAAATAGTGAGTTGTTACTAGCCCCAGTAGCAGTGATACCTGAGGCAGAAGACCAAGCACAAGAGACTGATTGTAATTACACAAGTATTAAAAAAAAAACCATGTGATGTAGTTTTGAAACTAAAAATGAAAAAATTAAATCCACACATTTGTATGCAATTGGCAGGAGGAGGCTCTCAAATCTGCTTATCAGACCTCTACACTGCAAAATCTCATTTGAAGAATATACTGATTAATCACTGATTTTTATCTATACTCAGATAATATATTGATAGGGCAAATAGGAAAATAAAAGTTTGATTTTTCACCTCCTCTATACATTATTACAAAGAATAATTTTCTACCATCTTGAAATTTTTCAAAGCTTTTTGAGAAACACACACAAATAATTTGGATTTAGTTGATTTTATTTACAGCTTGTTTTTTTGTACATTTCAGAGCATTACACAATTACATTTTCTCATTTTCTGACCTGCAAACAGATACCTTAAATGGAAATATTTTTTAAAAATTATCAAATTAGGTACATCCAAAATGCAACAATTACACATGACAATTAATTCACAAAGTGTAATTTACCAGGACGTATCCTAAGAATTTAGGAACAGCCAGTCAGGAGAAATCTGACCAAATTTAGCCATCAACTATTTACACATCCAAACACAAACCTACCTAAACTCCCAAATCAGAAATTTGAAAGTTTTTATTAAATCCCTACTGGACAAAACAGAGTGATGATTCAAACCTAGCCAGCCTTGACAGTCCTGATCCCAATTACTGGGCTATTTCCCCAGTCTGAAACTGAATAGCAAGCATCTCAGTTTGTCAAACACCTAGTATCAAACTTTTGAGCCATTATACACACAGAAATGCTAAGTGATCATTAATCTTTAAAGAACAAGTAGTCATTAAATATCCATACTGTTCCCCCCAGCTCACCAGCCCTTACTACTGCAATCCCAAATATGCAACCTGTGTCACATAGTGACCAGCTATATTATATAGATATGTATGTGCATGTATCTACACACACATTGTGTATAGACACATGCACATACACACGGTACTAGGTACAAATGCCAATTAACAGTCCCTGCAAAATTCATTTTCAGTTGAGGCTATGGTTCCTATGCCTTGGGATGGTTAGACTTCAAAACTGAAAAATACTGCTAAAATCTCACTTCCTTAAGACAAAATTGATTGCTTGTTCAGTTTAAGCTTCCCAGTCTAAAAATGGCTATCAGGTAAGTATAAAAAAGCAGCCAACTGAGTGCAATCTCTCTCTCCGGTTTGGCCAAGCTATTTCATAGAAGTTACTCCTCTAACTAGACAAGAAACCTGTGGCTCCTTCTAGTGGTTCTTGCCTACCTTACTGTCCATGTTCACGTTTCAAACTGTGTCAACAGAGCCCGCACTTCGGGGGTCAGCTGCTCGGCAGCCTTGGCTGCCTCTGTGATAGCCTTGCGATACAGGCCCTTTCTCTTCTTATTAAAGCGTGACTGAAAGTTTTCTAAAAAGGGGGAGAGTTGCGAAAGAGCAAGGAAAGACGTCGTCGGAGACCCGAACCATGAAATACGGGCCTCCTGTCGGACTAAAAGGCCGTTATCTTTCCGGCTCACAGTTATAGTAAGAATACGGGCTGGCCACCATGGGAAGCCATAGATCTTGGCCCAAACAATGTCCCCTACACATACGGTCCTGCCATCTGGTGTGACGCATTTAGAGACGTTTTTGGAAAAGACTTTCATTTTCAAGGAATTACTGAGCTTTTTCTCTTCCTTTGAAGAGGAGGAAGTGGAGGAGGTGGAAGGTGCATGCCTACTGCCTGGAGGAAAATCAAAGCTTTCAGAAGAACTACACTCAGAGTTGGAGGATTTCAAATCATCTGTGCTATCAATGCTACACACTGAAGCACTGGAAGAGTCAGGTTTCTTTTGATTTAGGGTCATGTAAACAGAGATATTGCTTTTGCTGCCCTTTTTGCCCAGTGTCTGTGGTTCATCCTGCTCACCAGGCACAAGCACTTCAGTTGTGTCCTGAACCTCACTGCGGGCCTCTTCAGGGCCTTCTGAGGGACTCTGGTTTTCTGAAGGGGCCTCACCTGCTGAGCGGGTAGAGGTGCAGCGAGACTGGGGTTTAGGCGCCATCTTGCTGCTCCGCATTTTCTCAAGTCCTGTCTTCAGAGAAGAATCATTTTCTTCATTCCTGTACCTTTGTGGTTTTAAACGAACCCGGGGTGGAAGGGAACCTGAGCTAGGATTCTGGTACCGCCGTGTAAAATGGACCTTTGAATGTGCATTTTTAGATGTAGAGGTTTCGCTTTGCTTCTTTTGCGCCTTTTCTTTGGCAATTTTCAACACTTCCCGAGCCTTTGCATGATCCATGTTCTTACTCTGGAGCACTTTTTTAGTACTTAACTGAGCTTTCGAAGTGTTTGCCTGAGTAGAAACCTTGACTACTCTGCCTCTGCTGTGAGCAATACTTGAGACCTTGACCACAGCATTTCTTCTCTGGCTTTCGTTTGGGTTTTTCCCATCCACCTTATGTTCAGTTTTCAGTTTTTTGTTCACAGTAGCTATACTTTCACTTTTCCGTTTTTTATCTTCATATTTAGAAGAGTCACTTGCACTACTACCTTTCCTGATTTCCTTTTTTTCAGCAACAACACTGTTCTTACACTTATCGCACAGGACCTGCCTGGGTCGTAGTTTGATTGCGTTCATCATTGAAGTTGGCTCTTCCCTGTACATCTTCCGTTTGGGTCGCTTAATTTTCCGAGGCGGAGGCTGAGGTATTGACTGGTTATACGTGTCCCTGATAAACAAGGGGGGAGGGTAGGGTGCTCCCTCGTGGAAGAGGGGCGGTGGTTTGGAAGTCCACAGGCCTTCAGCCGGGCTCGGTGTGGGACGGGGGCCGGGAGAGGGGTCATCCGGAACAGCACCATTCAGTTCACGCTTGACTTCTGTCCCTTCTTGGAATGTATTACTTTGGAGCTGCATGGCTTCGGGTTTATCCTTATATTCCCTTTTGGGAAATACTGTCACAGGGATCCCATGGGGTCCAAACCTTTGAAAGAAACAAAGAAAAAAAGCTATTAAGTTAATGTCTGTAATTAAATTCTTAAACACAGCTGATGTTCATTCTTACGACCTTTCCTGAAAACTAGTTCCTATTAAAGAACAAAAACAAGAACCTACTGAGTACCTCTCCCCCAAAATTCCAAAGCCCTCCATTTTGGTCCTACATTTTAGGTATAAACAACGACACTCAAATTTTAGTCTAAGCAAATACCAGAATGGCTTGATATTATTTAGACCTTTCCAGCCTTGGATCAGAAAGGAGGTTCTATCAGCTAAATATTAAACATCATCTGATATTACATTCACTTAACTATATAGACAATATGTCTAGTAAATTTAACAATAAATTTGTTAACATACATACCTTTGGTTATAATAGCTTTCAAAAGCTTCATAAAACAAATTCAGCCTTAACTACCCAGGAACACTTAATCAGTAAACGCTCATCTTAACTTTAATTGCTTGAAAATTCAAAGACAGCTTCTCTTTTACTCTTGCACCCTAACTCTTAAGCCCTTGTCCATCCAACCCTACAAAAACACAAAAATACTAGAAATACAGATACCCAAATTACCTCAAAAACACAGGTATAAAGCTGTGGCTAAATTTTTTTTAATCACATTGTACATTAACATTTTTACATTGCAATCCAATAAAAACATTTATCTATGTACACATGCATGAATATATGCATATATAAATACACACACTTAAGCAAAAGTTTCCCTAAATAGTTAACCTTATTTTATGTGATACATGTTTTTTTTCTACTCTAGTTTCTTCTGTTTTAATGCCAGACACATTAAATATATTTCAAAACTCCCTTACAGGTCCAAACCCAGTTTACAAAGCACTGGTATAAAACACAGATATTTACAATTCTCAGTTTCTAATAAAACAGGGGTCAATATTCTTATTTCTCATGCAGACTTAAAAATAACTGTTTTAATCTGCCTGGACTAAACATCAAGAATCCTTAAAGTTAAACCTGCTAACTTCCTGCACATGAAAATGAAATCATACTATCAAATGTTATCATATACACATTACTATGATCACTTTTAAACACTATTTGATTCAAGCAGTATCGAGCACAGTACAGTTCAACTGCCAGTCCCTTAAAGTGGAAGAGCTTAAAGGATCAGCTTCAGGAGTCAGGCAGAACCCTGACGTTAGATGTCAATGATTTACATATGCCTGCTTTTCTGGAAAATGAGTGTGGGTTCTCAGATTCTCTAAAACTAAATGCCCATATGCCTGTCCACAAAAAGGTTTAGAAATACCTTTTGTGGGAAGAAATTTTGAGATTTCATGTTCTTAGGGCTGTCAGTGCACCTAACTTCAAAGCAGGGATTTACAGAAAAGCTAGAACCACGAGGGTATCCAGCCCTAACAGCTGAATAGTTTCCTTCCTAAAGAAAGCTTAGCTACCACAAACCATCAACGTATATAGCAAATATTTACAAACCACACAGGAAGAAGAAAGCCTTTGTTATGTACGGTGGGACAAGTTTGGGTCCAAAATAATCCACAAAGGAAGGATACATTCCTCACTGCACCAGATTTTGCAAAAAATGACTTTCCTATGCTAGTGTAGCATTTGGTATCTGTTTGCTTCCTGACTAGTTAATTCCAACTTTGAGCATTTAGTCTTTTTCTATATGTGGGTGCTCAATAACCACTTTTTCAAAATGGTAAGACAAGAGAGCTGGCTTTGGCTTTTATGTAGAACTACTTAAAATAATGTGACTTATCTGGTGAGACCACTATTATTAGTGATAAAAATTTTCTAAAACTTTCAGGTTTCCACAGCTGAACAAAGAACAAATTTCCTTCCTTTCATTGGGAATAACTATACTGTAATTATCTTAATGTTTGAGGTTATGTTTCACAACTGTCTCTTAACAACTCCATATCTTCAAGTGTTACTAAACGTCAGATGGGGTCAAATGAGGTGGTACTATTTCCTACCTTAAAGGATTCCAATGAGGATTAATAGTTCAATTAAATGTAAGCCATTTTTCTTGGCTAAAATTCACTTCATTTACTTCATGTAAGTAATTTGATCTTATTTTTAACTAACAATTTCCTGGAGTTTCGGAATCCTTTCTTTAACTTTAATTTATAATCTCAATGTTAAGATGACCCAGCCAATTATTTGAAAGCTATTTATATCAAGTAAACTGTGGAATCTAATGTTTACCCTCATGGAGTTTTATTTGTCTTTTTCTAAGGTAAAGATATTAATGTCCCATACGAATGTTCACCAAAGGGTGACCTCAGCAGAGGAAGTTTTAACAGTCAATGGAGAAGTGAAGTTTAACTAGTATCCCTTGCTTGAGCTTTTTCTGAAAGAACTTTTTTACAAATACTCCAAAGTTCAGTAGTAAGATGCAAAGTATCTCTCCTCTTTTCCCTACACCCCTTCTTTGTACAGCATGAAGGTATTTATTAACATATTAATGACTCATTCTAACCATTACCTATTTTCAGCTTTATTTAACCACTACCCAAAAATTCTGAAGGAGAAATATTCAGGTATTATGGCTTCATTAAAAATAGCTTCTGGGGAAAACTAGGTGAAGTATTCAAGAGACCTCTCTGCACTATCTTTGCAAATTCCTGTGAATCTATAAAATGTTTTAAAACTAGCAATCTTAATAAATTAGGAGTAATGAGTGCCAAAATTTTGAGCTTTGACTGAACAAAGCCTTTATTCACCCACTTGTAGGCTTTACAAAAGTATGGTATTTACTTAAGACTTCTAGCATTACCAGTCAATCCTGTACCTAAATATGCTTTACTTCTTGGAGTGAACCTCATAACATTATCCAAATTCCCTTTCCAAAGGAATACCTCAAACAAAACAAAAAATGTATACCAACTCTTACTCTTATTCTGAAAGTGTTTTCTTAAATATTGACATAGTATTCATCAGTGTTAACGTCATAGCAACCTCAAACTCATCTCTGACCTAGGATTATATTCTCTTCCTTCCTGCTTGCAGCAGTTTAAATAGTGCACAACTGATTCTCATTTTCTTCCAATTCTGGTTGCTAAACTCCAATTTTAGGAGATTTTTTTTTTTTAATATTATATACCAACGATAGAGACACAAAAAACTAAGGCATTCTATTTTAGGCAAGCAAAGAGAGGTCCTGAGGAATTTAGTGCTCAGAGAAAGTTCAGGAGGGTTAGTTCAAACAGGATCCAGTGTTCTGGCTAGAGCAAACCTCCCTCCAACAAACGGATCAAGAAAAAACAAAGAAACTTTTCTTCCCAGAATTCTTTTCTCTTAACTCACAGTAGAAAAAAATTACATGCAATTAACCATGCGAAAAATAATTTCCAGATTTACTTCACTTCAAGCATGTTTTCAGGAATTACCATTTCCTTAGATTAACAACAGGTTAAATCATAAAGGAGGGAAAACTGTGAAGCAAGCTTACTCTGGTTCACATTTTATCTCTGTGATATTGGTTATTATGTCAACATTTAATCCAGGACAAATGAAATTAATTCAACAGCTACAAGCAATGGAAAATTTTACAAAATAAAAATGTACATCTATGCTTCAAAAAAATTAAAAATGAACCAGCACCCCCACTTCTGGGTATACATCCAAAATAATTAAAACAGTGTCTCAAAGAGATATGTGCAGTCTTGATGTTCAAAGCAGCATTATTCACAATAGCCAAAAGGTAGAAATAACCCAAGTGCCCATCAATGGACAAATGGTAAACAAAATGTAGTATATACATGCAATGAGTGGAATGTTATTCAGCCTTGAAAAAGGAAATCCTGTCATATGCTACAACATGGATGAAACTTCAGAAATTACACTGTGATCACAAAAAGATATTACACAACTCCACTTAAATAAGATAACTAAGGTAGTCAAATTCACAGAAACAAAGTAGAATGGTGGTTGCCAAGGCTTGGTGGGAAATGGAAAACAGGGAATTGTTTAATGGGTATAGTGTTTCAGTTTTGCAAGATGAAAAAGTTCCAGAGTTTGATTTCACAGCAGTGTGAATGTACTTAACGCTACTTAATGAACTACACACTTTAAAGTGGTTAAGAGAGTACATTTTGTGTTTTCTGCCACAACTGAAATTTTGTAAAAATTACCTCTATCAAATGTACAGGGGAAAGTTGATGAGCAGTGTTACTTTTGTGGTAATAAAGGAATGATTAGTACAAGGGAAGTAACAGTAACTGCTGGGGATAAAAAGACACCACCCACACCAGAGGGAGAACCCAGCAACCGTCCCCAGTAAGGGCAAATGACTATCTATCGCCAAACGTCTCATAAGCAAGTATCAGACAAACCTAACTGAGGAAGAGCCCCTATTATATTCTATATAATATTGTAAATAAATGCAATCGATGGTCATTTACTGGAAGAGGAAAAAAGCTTTAAAAGACAATATTGGAAAAACTGACAAAATAATATGGGCTGTAAATTAGTAAAAGTACTCAGTCACAATGTTTCATGAATTTGAAAACTATTCTGTGGTTATGTATGCAAGTATCTTTGATCTTAAAAAAGAAATGCTCAATATTAATGGGCAAAGAAGAACAATGTATGCAACTTATTACTCTTAACAGTTCAATGAAAAAAATGTTTAAAAAATGATAAAGCAAATGTAGCAAAATATTAAAAATTAGTGAATCTAGATAGTTTCTAAGAGCTCTGCCATACTTCAAGCTATTTCAGAAGAAAAACTTTAAAATTAGCTTTTAAAAAGCATACTTTTTAATGTTCCTCATGTAATTGTAGATTAATGATACCAAAATAAAAAAATTTTTTATACTTTTAAACTGTTTACTTCAATATCACAAAAAGTTATAGGGCAATGAAAGTATATAAAAAAGAAAATGTGTCCTCCTTACACATAAATGCTAGCAAAATGACCGCCAACTACCACAAAGCACAAAATCAACACTCAAATACAAGGATGCTAATTAGTCAGATAGTATAAA